GTGCACTGATGATGACTCCTTTGCTATGGAAATACGTGGTAAATTTTTTTTATGAGTTTGATGAGAACTGATTTTCCACACTTCCAAAGTCACGCGTGAATATAATCTCAGCACTAGTCACTCATGAGTCATGAAAGCGGCACACGGGTAGCAAAAAATTTGTGCGGTCTCTGAAAATAAGCACAAAATGAATACAATCGTTTTAGGAGGGGCGCAGATTAAATTATTGTAGTGAATTTTGAGTTTTAATTCTGTCGCTATGGATTTCAACACTTATAATAAACGTTATCCCTTTTGATGAAAAATGGAGAAACTACACTAGTTAAGCAATTATTTCGTCTTGAATATACAATGAAAAAATATATAAAGGAGCTATATTCTAAAAGTATACCAGAAAAAAATTAATCTCTAACGCCGTTGGAAATGAAACTTGTGCTGGAGTTTTAAGATATCCTTGATTAATGTTCGTGGAGACACAGGCGAACGAAGGACGATTTCCGTTCCAAACGAACTGAAAAAATCGCTGGGTATCAGTTTAGATGACGCGATGAAAAATCGTATTGTAATATGTTTTAATTCCTTCCTTTTTTACGTATTTAGAAAGTCAATTAGTGACACAGTTACGTGTAGTTTCGTCGTAAACTTTTGGTATCATGCAATACCTACGTCAAAGTGAACGGTAACGATTAAGTATGGCAAGGGATAAGGGAAATGGACGAGGAAATGGAGCTAAAAGATTGACTCATGCAAAATTTGGTGATCAGTCAAGTATTTATTTACATTGTCTTAAATTTATATTCAAAAACATCCCATTTTTATCATTTAAGTTATAAAAATTTCGACATACCAGTTTAGCACAATTCATATGTGGCCTCTTTTCAAGGATTTATGTGCAATTTTTCGTACGTTTATGCTAATGATGGGATGAAGGTGCTCAGTTCACACGCTGTAATATAAACTTCCTAATTAATAAGGCGTAAACATCCTATAGGTATACAAAAATCAACAAATGAGGAAGTCAAATTACGTTCGCTGCAATACTCGTATTATGTTCAAGGCGAAATTACTTACATATAATGATAGTCATAGAAAATATCATTTCAAATAATATGGATTTTTCTTTTAACAATAAATTTCATATATTTTTTTTTTTTTTTATTGAGATTAATGTGTCTCAGCATATCAGAGGCCATTGACACAGATACAGTTGTGTATAAGTTTATAGGCTAATGGTATATTACATTATATTTGTGAAGCAAGGGTTCATATTTTGGAGCTGTAATTGGTGTTATTTAGATATCTGAGAACTTTGTTTATCTGGTTCGGTGAGTTGAGGGCTTCATCCAGGTTGTTTGAGAGACCAAGCTGACTTCTCGTGTGTGAGTGAAGCTGACAGTAATGATGGAAATCATCAAAACAGTTAAAGGACTTTGATTTTTGATAATGGAACTAAATGTCGTCACAACCTGTACTTACATTCTAATAATACATAAATATTTGTATGAACCTCTACATTTTTAAAAACCTGTTTGCCAAAATTTCTCATTATTCAGGCTTTAACGTGGCGAGCAAGGGCGTAAATTTTAGTGCTTGCTTCACCATTCACTGTACACACTGTGTATAATCAATATGCTTTACTTTTGCCCGAAGCCGGCCCTGGATAGGGTCGTATGTAATTTTGGTGACATACCACGCGATGTAGAAGATATACTGGATATACACCATCAGTGGCATGTGTGCAATCAATGTGATTTATCCAAGGCCAAACTATTGCCGTTTAACCAAGACGCAAAATGGACTAGTGTACGTCTCCCAAAAACTCTTCAATCATCTTCCAACGCAAATAAAAGAGTTGACTAGACTACAACTAAAAAAGAAATTAAAAGAAATACTATTAAAAAAAGCATATTACGCTATTGAAGAATTCAACTGTGATAATCTATCTAGTCTTATATGAAACCTGTCAATTTATTTTATTTTTCGATTTTATTTTATATACTCTTTATTTATTCCACTAAATGGTAACTCGTGCCTTGATGCGTATCAGTTTTGTATGTTCGTCCCATCATATGTCCTTTGTTTTTATATTACACCCTTGTGTCACATATATGATAAGTGTAAGCGTAAGCTACATTATTATTATTATTTTATGTAAATCAAAATTTTAATGTGTAGTGTACGTCCATATTTATATTTATTGAAAATGTGTAGTTATATCTCGAATGTTGCTGTTTTATATTTAGGTTATTTACATTGTGCATTATTGACATGTCAAAGCCACATTTGGTACTCTGACAATAAATGATTTGATTTGATTTGATTTGATTTGATTTTCGCGTGATTCTTCGAAAATTCCGTACAAAGCAGATTTTTTGAATTTTCGCATACTCGCCTCATCAAAAAGAGCAAGAGAAAATGGAGCCAGTTCGTACTCTAGGTATTGAATAAGTTCAGCTTCATCTTTTTTGCTCAAAATTAGAATATTGTGCAATTGTATGGTCCCCCTTTTATGCTTATCAAAAAATCCACCCGGTATTTCGGAAACTAACAATACCAGATTTTTTTTTATTCCTCGTGGTAATAATATCCTCCCCGTATTCCTCATCCAGTTTTTCTTTAATTGTACGTTCGCCAGCAACGTAGCCTTCGAGTAAGCTCAACAATTCAGGCAGTAAAAATTGGCGCTCATTGCTATTTTCAATAAAATCATATATTACCTCCATTGCAGACTGTACCTACCTGGTAGGGGTGGACATCAACTTTTTCGATTTCTTAAAGAAGCTAATGGAACATCTTTAGAAATCATGGCTTGACCAACATTCGTCGACACCCCGTAGAGGCAAGATAAATTGGAAAAGAAAGAAAGAATATTTGTTTCAATGGATATACTTTTGTTACTTCTCATAAAAAAACTATTTCAAAAATACAGTGTAATTGAATTTTGCGCGTCAGTTATATTTGAGTTGCCACAAACTTTTGTTATTAAAATGGAAACCATAGTACGCATAATATTATTAAAAGGGCTTCTTTTCAACGAATCTAACGATGTATTAATTATTTCATTTAGTATAGGTGGACAAATTATGATTCTTTTAATTTCTTTAAACGGTTCCCAGTAGTAGACCATGAAAACAATACTGAAGTACAGTTTAAATAATATTTGTTATATGCAGGATAAACACACGTTATTTAGGCCCACCATAGGTTACTTGATTTGGAAACTGCAAAATTCATTTTTTTACCACATGCAACTAGATTTACTGTAAATCGTTTGGAAGCGATTATCTTTTCAACTCGTTGCATGTTGGATCAAGCACTTCTTTATTCGGATCACTCTGAGGTTACTGTAATGAATTAGGTAGAAAACTTAAATTTACGAATTCGTATCTTAGTCATACATTTACCCACATTGACTCTGAAATTGATTACGAAATGTGCCTTTGCCATTGATAACCTTTGTACGAAAATTACCACATAATTACCACATAAAAACCATATATCATAGAAGCATTATGGGAGTTTATCTTGGAGATTTTATTATGCAAATTTGAAAAAATCAGAGTTAATGTGTATGTCTACGTTAAAGAGTAGGAAATATCATTTCAATTCGTGAAACCTTATCTCCTGGACGACCAGTTCGACGAAACTTATTTCGTATAGGTCATTATTCCAGCATTGTGGTTTTTCTGTATGATATAAATATAATAAATATGTTCGTCATTCTGTAAGAGAAGGGCAACGAATTGGCTTGGTTGAGAGAAAAGAATTGGTTTATTCCTTACGTTTGCCACAAAAAATAGAATCAAGTAACAATCCTGTGCACATGAATGTGTGATATTAGGCCTTGCATATTACAAATATGTAATCTCAAATAGACAGCTTAGAAAGAAACAACTGCTGCTAAGGGCCAAGGGCTCATCTGGAACAAAAGGTGCGAGAATATAGACACTTCTGTCGAAAGTTGAAGCACCGGTACTTTCCTAGACAGAATAAACAGTGTTAATTGCCTTTCTTGAGAAATTAATTTTAAGTATAGTCGTGCCATGGTTTTTTTTTGGGGTGAATGTCAGTGTCAAACAAGACAGAAATACGACGTAGGTAATTATGAAATGAATTCGTTTCGTGGAGTCGCCTGGGAGTGATTCGAGCAAGCACAATTATTGAAACCTTTCATTGACTGTCCAATAACTTAATGAAATAGTCACAATTGGAACAGCGCGCTCCAAACGTTTTGAAAAACGAGAGTCAAGACAGGTGTGGTTGATGCGGTAGCTAGCGGGACATTAAGGCACCAAGGGTAACAATTAGACGAATTAGAGCCCAATGATAATGTTCACCATGGGTTTAATATTGATCAAAAACGTTAAAAGCAGCTAGAGTTTCTACAATTTTATCAATATCGGTATAGTTTGTATAGCTGACAGAGCATTCATTTCTAAAGTGTATGTAGAGAATGTTCTCTTACCGACGCTGTTGGTACCTGCATTATTAAAGACAACCATAAATCGAAATATGTAAAAATTTGTGTTTAATAATAAGCAAATAACTCCCCCTCCCCCTTTTGTTGCAAGCCCTCCCTCTTTTTTTAAGTTGGTACCTAGCGCTGATTGTAGATTTATCATTTTGTATTTTAATGGGAAAATTACTTTTAACAAGCTCATCAGCCCATGAGGAAATGGTACTCTATTTAAGAATTAAATGGCAACGAATTAATAGACGCCCGTAAAATAAAAATCAAATTGGGTAAGAAAAATTCCAGACGAATTTCAAGTTTCTGCTTCTGACTTTATTTTCAAAGATCTCGGACTTGATCACTTTTCGCAAAATTAATTGTCAATTAGTTTGGCTATTCTTATACCTACTGCTATTTTTTGCATTAACTGGTAAATAATGGCGGGGGTGATGTGAGCGCCTAACGATGTCTGTTTCTCTATAAATAATATGTTTAAAATAAAATACAGAGTTTAAATTTAAATAATTGATTTTAATTTCTCTTTCAGTGAATTACGCCACAATGGGTTCATCGTATGAAGACGGTAAGTTATTTTATTTTTATTAATTCAACCCCAGTAGTTTTGTTATACCTATCTATATCCGAAAATTATTTACAATAGCCGTTTGAGGACGATTCAACGTCTAATACAAAGTAATGCTGGTCGATCAGAGTAGACGAGAAGTAATTAATGTTTAAGTCACAAAATAAATCCTGCTATGTCAAGGGAGTGTGTGATATATTTCCTCAACTGATTTCTAATGGGTGTTGGAATTGTTGCAACCCTTGCCGTTGCATACAGATCCGCTCTTTGGTTAGAGTAATAATTGTATTATTTGTAATTGCTACACAGCTTCTAATTAGTTTCATGGGAGTTTTAAATTAAAACCATAATTGACGACTAGACTTTGTTCTTTTAAAAAAAATTCAATCAATATTCTGTTTGGTGTTTTTCCAAGGTAAATACATTTAAAAATAAAAAGTTGTTTTTTTTAGTATGCCCCATATGCGTCTTTAACAAAATACAACAAATATTTGAAAATTTACAAAATTAATTTTATCGTAAACCTGCACATTAAACAGCTGAATTGTAGGTATAAAGTAAAATTGTATGAACAGATCAATTACATTACCCACTGACCTTGAATTCCGTGCTCTATATTGTTTGAGTATAATTGAATGATCAATGCTTGACGAAAATTATCGGCTATATACGTGACCTTATTAATGCCTATTTTTATGGGGGATCCTTTATCATTGGCCATTATGAATACATCAGACATCTCAATTTGCTAGACCAAGTTGAAACGTGATTTTTTGCACGTATCACGACACTTGGCAGTAATTATTGTCTAAATCGCTAATGTTTATTATAAATAGGGTCTCGAATTACTCCTATTTAAGAGAAAATGTATTTCCCCTTGTTTTAAATAACCTTGAGATTAAATAATTGTGATAGTGCGAAGAGTGTGTCATTTATTACATTCAATAAACATGGGATTAGTATCGCCCGTGATGTACAGGTAATTGTTTTAGATTCCAACTGTCCTTGAATTTTGGCACGAGTTTCAATCATTAATTGAGTTTGTATTTCTAATTGTTAGGGACATCGACTCGATCAGGTATAGCGTTTGGGCATAATGAGAAATTACTATAACTCGCTCTTACATCCTCGTTACCTATGCAAATTATTCACCCATTTTCCAGTCCAAATTCAACAAGTCTTTGAACAGTACATGCACTTTTTGGATGAATGCAATAGTGTAATTCTCTTCCAATTTGCATATATGCAACTGAGAAGCATTAAGGCGACCTATGCATAGGTACCTTATACAGTAATGAAACGACCTACTTCCATAGAATTCTTTTAAATCAAAGTCAATAGTGGTTCCCCAAAATCTTAGTGGTAAGTTTTCAACTCTGGCTCTGTATATGATCAGTATAATGAAAACCTTAAAACCGTTGTAGCACTGTGTACGGAGTAGAGGAACCAAACTGGTCGAACGCTACCTCGGACCCTGCAACGCCCAAATTTCGAAAAATCTTGAAAAATTCATAAGGAGCGACGCACTATTAATTTACTATGCACGCATTTTTATTAAATACCTACCAATTAATCCTTACTTTAGGGTAAAAGCCTCACATAAACAAGTTTGGGTATAATTAGTTTAAGGTGTATTCTTATTCTGCATTTGGTTTTAAAATTATCATGTTTTATAGCGTATTTGCTTAGAAAATTATCTACTTAACATAATCCAATTGCCACTCACGTGTTAGTCACCGATGGGTGCTGACGTACAAATGAGAGTACTAAAGTACCTGCAAAGCATTAAAAAATGCTGCAATCAATAGCTAGGCAATAATTTATGATAATTCATTTATTTATGTATAGACATTAATTTTTGCTTGGTTTAACTAGTCCTATATTTAATCTTTTTTGGGTTAATAATATAAATAAGTACATATTAATTAAACAAGAAGAATGCAATTTAACAGATGTCTACACGCCTCAAACTTCAATCCTTGGTTGATTTATGTAATATTATTCAGAGAGGTTATTGTACCGCCACAACCTAATAAATCTTGGTAATTTTCCATACATTCTTTCAAGTTTTTATAAATCACCTTCTATAATGTTCTAGTATAACTTATAAGACATCAATGAACCTTATGCATAACAATTTTCGTTGCAGATAATCCAGGAGAACCTGTTGAATTGCCCGAGGAAGAAGAAGTCATCCACTTTCATTTAGTCTACACGGATGATCTCCATCAGGCTAACACCCTCGCATCCCTTAACAAGATGAGAAAAAATCGTCACTTTTGTGATGTTATTCTTCATGTATGTGTACTGACTATAAAACGTACATTTTACAGATTTCAGTCATTCATTTTCACAAAACACGTACACTAATAGTTGGTATCTTAGACACACAAAACACAACTTCCAATGAATGATTGAAATCTTAAATGTTTATAGTCAGACATTTCTGGATTCCACTTCGTCATAAATACTATTTTTAATATGTAGTGAGTAGTTTTGGATTATTTATAAAAGCAAGACTTTTAAGTTAGACAAGTAGACAAAATTATTTCAGAGCAAAACTTCAGTTTTTCGTTTTAGTTTCTTACACTTCAATCGAAATATACGAACAAGAAATAATATTTTCTGTGTTTTCAGAGATATTCTCTTGAAAATTAGGTAAATAAGGTTTGCTACTCTATTTTCCAAGTAGGGATTTATATATTTATTGTCAATGACTTCGTTGCTTATTTGCACTATATAGTTTATACCAAATATGTAAATCATACTTGGATGGTTCAGAACAAATTTTAGTATTAAGGAGCCCTTTTAATTTTTTCTGTTTACAGAGCGTTATCAAAAATGTAAATGGTAACACTTTTATTTATTTACCAATCTTGTCATTTATTTCTTTTTTTTGATAGAATTTATTTTTTTTACCGCCTTTGCGCTTTATAATATGATGTATTGTTTGATTTATAGATTGGCAATTGGGAAATTCACGCCCATCGTGCAGTCTTGGCCAGCGTTTCTCCTTACCTTTTTGAACTTTTCACAACTGATCAAGATAAGAAACGCAACGAGAATATCGTCACTTACAAGCTTAACGGCGGATTTGACAAGAGAGCATTTGAGTTACTGGTTGACTATGCATACACTTCGAAACTTAAAGTTTTATCAGATCAGGTAGGGATTGTATAGTTTACATCCATTTTTGCGGCGCCAGTGCCACTCACTAATAGTTCTTCCCCTTAAAATGAATTGCATTGTTGGATAAATTTAATAACAGGTATCGGGGATTTCAGGATTCTTATGTAAAGTTACTTTCCCAAGATCTTTTTTTTAAGTTTTCAAACTTATCTCATTACTAATGTATATTTCCCTTAGGTCAAGGCTGTTTATCTGGCCGCATGTCACTTGAAAATGGACCGAGTCGCACGCAAATGTGCCCAGCATTTAATTAAGCATTTATCAGTCGACAACTGCATTGAAATTCGTTCCCTACCTGGTATTGCTAGAAATAAAGATTTCGTTCAGGAAGTTGATGCTTTTATTGCTGCTGAAGTATGTTTACAAAATAAATTGAGCCTTCAGTATCTAATTACACATTACAGTTTGAAAAAATCAGTAAATCATCTAACCTCCTGAATCTATTATGCGCGAAAATTGAAGTACTAAATCAATCACGGGAAGAAATGTCCTTGGTCAACCATAAATCTCTTTGCGTGTTAGTACTTGAATGGATCAAACGTCAACTGACCGAAGAATCTCTCCGCATGGAATCATTATCAGAAAAAACCTTTATGTTGTACCTTGCTATCGATAATTCTCTACAAGATTGTTCCGGTCTACCTTCTGGCGATATTAGCGACACAGAGATTGTACAGGACTACAAAAAGATGTCATCGAAAGCCGTTCAACCAAATTCTAAAAACAAAAGGAAATTCTTAAGTCAACCGGTGAAACCTCGAGTGCTTTTTTACTCGAGGGATATTGACGAAGAAATCGAGCTTGAATGTGAACCAGATTGGAACCTGATAGCCACATCTCAAGTCGCAGAACATTGCACTTTAGCGCTAGTGACTCTAGGAGGAAAACTCACTACACTATCAGTACAATTAAGGTACGTTTCAAGCTAGTCTAGGTGGCATTTTCCCAAAATTATTTTTCAGACTTAATCCACCTAGCACACCTTCTCCTGTTTCAACTCCTGATTCAAGCAGATGCGCTAGCGAGGAGAAACCTGATCTTTATTGTACAATCAAAAATATGTCCTCTGCGCGTTGCGCTGTAGGATGTGGCAATTTACAGAATACTCTTTTAGTTTGTGGTAAGTTTGACAAACAAATTGAAGAAAACATTCTTCCATTACAAGACAATTTGATTTTGTTTAGGTGGGTATGATCGGGTTGAATGCCTACGAAGTGTTGAACAATACATACCGGAATCAAATACGTGGAAATCTGCACCTTCAATGCGTGAAGCACGAGGAAGACACCAAATTGCAATAATTGAGGACAAGGTATTTGCTGTTGGTGGCAGTAACGGCACCACTGAGTTAGATACTGTTGAAATGCTGGATGTTACTGTTGGTATGTCTATCTCTCTCGTTTTTTATGTATATACAATGGATACTTGATAGGACGGTGGGTCAACCTGCCCAAATTGCCGTTGGCACGAAGCAATCTCGGAGTTTGTGAGCTTGGAGGTGTGATTTATTGTGTGGGAGGTTGGAATGGGCAGGTTGGTATTAAGCAATGCGATATTTTCAATCCGACTACCTCGACTTGGTCCACCGTTGCTTCCCTGAATACAGGTCGATACCAAGCAGGTGTTGCAGCTTTTAAAAATTTGGTTTACGCCATTGGAGGTTGCGACGCTTGGAATTGCTTAAATACAGTTGAAGTTTTCAATCCGGTTGAAAACGCATGGACCGTGGCCAAACCCATCATTTCGGCTAGACGAGGTTGTGGGGTGGCAATGTTTAATAATAAACTGTACGTGGTTGGAGGTTCTGATGGTACACATTCATTGAATACAACAGAAGTGTTGGACGAAGAAAGCGGGAATTGGGTCGTTGGTCCAAGCATGACTACTCCTCGGGCCAATGTTGAAGTTGCCGTAGTTGGAGACAGACTCTACGCTGTTGGCGGATTTTCCGGTAATCTATTCCTTTTCCCCTTTTAAATGTAACCCACGTTTATTACCAGGCAAAACCTTCTTAAATACAATCGAGTATCTAGACCAAAACTCAAACGAATGGACCACATTTATACCCAAAGGATCCATCGATGCCGGTTATCGAAGAAAGCCGCGCTACCGAAGAAATTCTGCACGTAAAAGCATATCAGAAGACTCCAACAAAACAATCAGAAGTGAAACCCAATCACCTATCAGCAATCATACTCAAAACGGGACCAGCAGTTAAATTTATTTTCTATTCTACTAATAAGTTTTAAAACCAAATTTCAGTTGGTTTTTATAAACATGTTTCATTTCAAATTTTACATTGTTCCAAGCCTCCAAATATAAAAAGTATTTTGCATACCGTTTTTATACTCAATATGTCATGAAATTAGCAGACGATATCTATTTGTAAGTGTAACTAAACTCTGAAAGTATTAGTAGGATAGAATATAGCATTTATAGAAAATCGGGAGTATTCCAGTAAATGCATTAAACAATATTATATATAATATATGTCGTTGCATTTCTTAATTTTATCAAAGGAAATTGAGAGTATATCGATGTAAAAAAAAGGACAGCTTGCTGTTAAAATACATATTAAAATATCTGTATATTTGATTCCAGAAATCTGGCCTGTGATTGGATCAGACTGATCTTTGCTCATTGAATGGACATTGCTAGAGTTTAATTTAACAATGTTTTTATTGTTTCCTAATTTTAATGCCGTCGGTACGTTACTTGTAAAATTTATCTTTATTTCAATAAAAAAAAGACAATTCGTGTATTATTAAATGTATATAATTTCTAATCTGCAGTTTTTAGTGTAGCGGGTCTTAGGTTGTTAATTTATTTGTGAAAGTCTCCATAGACGAGACGCGTTTAAATCGAGTGCAAAAGTAGGTGGAGTGTAGATGTTAAATAAAATCGTATTAAAGAGATCAGCTATGTATTCCAAAGGATTTTTTAAAAATCAATATAATAGTTGGAAATAATCAAGTGGATAATAAATGATCATGTGAGGGATGCGGATTTTACCGTTTTTTTCCAATGCCGACACGTTTTTATTGAATTTAATCCCTAATTTTTGTGCATTAATAGGTAATTTTAATCCCTAGGGATTAAAAAAAATTTTAATCCCTCATTTTTGATTTCTTGTAAAACATTCAGAAAGTACCTATTCATTTTCTTTATTTTCAGAACAGGTAATATGAAAAGCACAATTTATAAAGGGCCTTGGTGTACATTCAGCTCTTCCTATATAATGCCAAATAGCTGAGTTCTTCTCCGCCTCAACAATGGTAAAAACTCTTGACTTTTAGTTTTTGTATCTGGAATTCTAACGACCAGCATCGATTCTCCATCTTCTATGTACCTAGTCTACGTTAATTTTTAAAAATTCCTCTGATCTGCAAGCTGCAACTTCCTCCAATATCCATAATTGTCACAATCTACAACCACAAACTTTGGAAGCATGAGCATGCAATGTTTTACACAAACTAACCTTGATCAGCAAGTGACATCTTAGGAGATGAAAGAAGCGCCTTCATATGCTTCGTCACTTTCGTCTTCAATATTTTTAGAAGGGTTCACAGGCATGATTTTACCAAAATAAAAAATTCTTAATTTTTGTTGACAGTTACAAACAATCAAGCGTAACTATGACATCCTAAAAAACCTACCTTACTGTTTCATAGTTTTTATAGCATATTAATTTTCAAATGGATTCAGATCGGTCGGTATTGGAAAAAATAGTATAAGTAACACTGGATTAAACTAGTTTTTGTTCCCTCAAGAATTTTAAAGCCCACGGCAAGCCTCGGGCTTTAGTAAGTAAGTAAGTAATTTATTGTGTTAATACATTTAAAAAATGCTTACACTCGTCCGTCAAAATCGTATAACACCTAAACATAAAATACATGAGACACATAGAACAATATTAAATAACATGAAAAATCATTTAGAAATATAACAATTAAACCAAAAAAAAAAAATACAAACAACAAAAAAAAACTTAAGGCGTTAAAGTCTTGAGGTCGTTATCTAAAAACTCTTGGATGTTATATATTGGATTTTCGCGTAAAAAAGTTTTAAGTTTCTTGGAAAAAAGTTGTTCATTTAGAGATTGGAAACAAGAAGGTAAACGGTTATACAACACAGGGCCCCAATAATTATGTGCCGCTTGTGACGTTTTTAATCGTAATCTATCATTATATATTTGATTTTTGTTCCGAGTATTGTAAGAATGAACATTTTTATGCGTTATATAATTTGATTTATTTCTATGAACGAACAAAACTGAGTCAAAAATGTATTGTGATGGAGCTGTTAGAATTTGCAACGATTTAAAGATATTGCGACAGTCCTCCCTATAGCCAGCATTTACAATATTCCGCACACAGCGCCTTTGCATGGCAAACGTTCTTTTCCAACGTTCTTAAACCATTCTTTCAGGAAAAAAAAACTCTTTAATCCCTTGTTACTTAATATACTATTTTTTTTTTGGTAGGTATTAAAATTCTTACAATAGAATATATGAAAAGTGAATAAAAAATAACATTAGTAATGGGTTCTAGTCTAAAGGGAAGTACAGCCAACTAAGAAATGTTTGTTCAATGGAAAATTAGTCTTAGTTTAACATGCAAGTTAAAAATTATTTTGAACGGTTTTCGAAAGTTACACAATTATTTAAATTTTACTGTAACTACTCTACTGCAGGACAAGCCTTCGACAACACACAAATTTATGGAATGTCATAATTACTGTATATGCGATAGTAATTTTTTACACTAATTTAAAATTCCATTTCTGTACTTTCTTTTCGATTTGACTAGCATAGTTTCTTATTTACCACATAATTCCTATTGTATTTTGCTTATCAAATTTTTTACTCCTGAATGTTATCATCATAATGAAGCATTTCAATTGTATTATTTTTTCTATATTTCCTTGAATCATTATTGAACAATATTTCAGTTTGTTCAATCGTTAAGACTGGAAAGTATTTCGAGGTCTGTTTGGACAATAAATTATTATTTCCCCAATGAATACAACAGAGATGAAACGAAAATTATATTTATTACATAAAACCGAATAACTTTAATTGAACGACCAAGTATGTTTACAGCTCTTATATTATCTACCATTATAAGGCAGTCAATGTCGATCATTAACGACCTTATTTTTACATTTTATAACTTACAACAAATCTTATAAATTTAAAATGCTTATTTTTTCCAGTCATCCTTTTCATAATCCCATTTGGATGACAGGCCTGTAATTGGGTTGACTTTCAAATCTAGCATTCTTCTAAGTTGGGCTCTTCTATTTTCTTCACTAAAGCTATCGGGTAGTGGACCATACACTATTGAAAATTGAAATCAGTAACAAGCGAAGTTATAATAAAAGAATGTACAGGACATTATTTCACAATGTACAATATATAATAAACATCGTGTCGTAGGTGTCCCAGATAATTTTACAGCTCATGTACGATTAAAAGAAAACTGTTCTTAAAACTAGTACAGAGCTGTATCCAAATTTGTCGCGAGCAACTTACCAAAGAACTTCATGAAAATGTACATCCAAACTCCGCAGCCTACAATTATAAATGTGTACCCTAAAACACTTTTCCACTCCCCGGTCGGATGAGTAAACTCGGAAAAGGTTTGGCAAAAAGATGCCCTGTAGAGTGCTTTCTTTTCTTCTATGGATAATTTTCGCCAGTCACCTTTCTCCCTTTCTCTCAAGGCCTACGTCAATTGTACAGTCGCAGATAATCACACGAACAAACATACCAAAACATCAGGGGTCTCCTCCTTCCATCGAAGAGAGGGCATTGGAAAATCTACACGATCCATATAAACTGGCTGCCCGTTAATACCATACCCAACCATTTCACGAGTACCCTCAACCGGTGCCGCTTCGTGGTGCATTCCGGCTGAGCCCAATGGAATCAGGCGACCTTTAAGTCTCGACCCAAGAGTTAAAAGTCTCAGTGCCATGGTAGTACAATCCCTAGCCTACTAATAAATAATGTTATCAGTGTTATATAATGGGTGGTTGAGGGGTTTTAATTGTTTAGTAAATATTTTATTATGTTAATTAATTAGTAATTATTGAAGTTCGTGTGCGCGTTATAAGGGTAACATATTGCAGAATTATATCACAATTTGCTAATATAAAATACCTTTTAACGAATAGAAGATGGCGTAGACACGTTCTCAATGTCGCCAACACAATCGATTAAAAATAAGGAAAAGGAAAGGACATGTCAGCCATAGATTTCAAACGACCAAAGAACAAAAAACCAGAGGCGCAGGGCGCAGGAGATAATAATAAATAATAAATAAATAATATAAAATAAAATAATAATAAAAGGGACGGATTAATGAACATACGTATTAGGATTTTAAATAGAAGTTTTTAATAACATTTAACGACCCTCAATAGAAATTGATGGTTTTCCAAAATGCTGTACGCCTTTTCCAGAGACATATCGATTTCCCACGGCTATCCGGGAAGTTTGGAGTCAGAGCCTTCTAGATACTTTCCAGAGCTTTCTGGACTTCCGTAACCCTGGGAATAATTTAGAAAGGTGTGAGAAGTTCTAGAATAGGTAAGTACTCCTATCGGCCACTTGATAAAGAACTTAAGTATTCCCTGGAAAGCACTTCAGGGCTTACCAGAGCTCGCAATCTAAACGGGTTCTAGAATTTTACAATCAGGTAAATTTTAAAGTTCTCAAGAACACTTACAGGACCTTCCCGAACAATTTTTCAGCCCCCCACAGTCCTTGCCTATAACATTATAACAGTTTTCCAGCGCTTTCCAAAACTCTACGCCTTTTTAAAAGGTGCTTTTTTCGAAAGATAGAGGGTACCTATGGCGTACCGCTACTTTTTGTAAATAATTAAAACTTAGCCCCACATATACACTGTCCAAGATAACGATGTCTTATCATGGGGATCTCCGAACTATAGAAGATACGATGATGGTTTAAATTTTAAATTAAAGAAAAGATGCGCAATTAAGGAGTTGATCATGCTTTAAAAAAACCAGAATATATATATAGGGATGTGAATGCTCTCCAGAATAATTGAAGCTTTACAGGCCTTTTCTGGCGCCCTCAAAAGCATTCTGAGCTTGTTATAGAGCTATTTAAGATTTCAGAAAGCATTGCAAGTCTCTCCCAAGCATATTTATAACCTCTATAGACTATGGACACTATCTCACCCCACCCTGTGTTCATATCGTGAAGCACCCTGTATAAAGTATATCTCCACCGATTTATTTATTATCTGTGTTTATTATTTTTAATTATCCCTGGTATGAGAGAGAATATTAAAATTATGATAAATTCGAAAACCAAAATTAGGATAAATGGCAAACCATTATGAAGTTCCAACTTGGTAAAGTCAAACTACTCTTGTTTTGTCTTATAAATTAGTTAATACCAAATTTTTCCTGCATGTAATTTAAGGTTAGTTTAAGTTCGTTAAATTTTCTTTCTTAAAGGGCAGGGAAACCACCCGTGGGTTTACATTTGGACGTTTTAAAAGGAGAGAAACTTATACAAAAGCTAATGATTGATGAAAAGAAATGTTATCATTTTGGACGTAATGCTCAAATGAACGACTTTTGTATTGATCACGCTTCATGTTCGAGAGTTCATGCAGCACTAGTCTATCACAAAATTTTAAACAGGCCATTTTTAGTTGATCTAGGGAGCAGTAAGTATCCATTTGTGATAGAATTACTTTATCTTGCATGTTTAGCTCATGGAACTTTTGTTGGATCGTTGAGACTTGAAAGTTACAAACCGACTCAGCTACCAATTGGTTCCAATTTTCATTTTGGTGCGTCCACAAGGATGTACATTATCCGAGAAAGACCTCAAGCGGGTATACGTCCCATAATTGACGAAATAGAAAAGGTTGGAGAAGACAGTGATGGTGGATTACTTGGCCTGCCGGAAACTGAAACTGAACTTGATGTACTTCAATTTCCTCCCTTTGTAATTGCATACCTAATGTCTCTTTTTTAGAATTTAACCGAGTTTAATACTGCACATAATCGTCGAATATCCATGCTGGGAATATCGGACGATACAGAAAAACGTAGCAGTAACCGGAAGAGAAAACGACGCGGTGTCTCCTTTAATGAAGACGAAGAAATAATTAACCCAGAGGACATCGATCCAAGTGTTGGTAAATTTAGAAACTTAATTCAATCAACAGTTGTCCCGAGTACACAAAAGAAACAAAAAATGAATGACAGTATCAGCATGCCCGAGTACAAGATGTTAAGAAACATCCATTCGGTTGTACCACAGCTCTACCAAGATTTACCGCCCGAATCAAATAATAGTGCATTTGGAAATGTCGGAATGTATAGCTCTTTAAGTTCCAAGCTGGGAATGGTCTTGCCCAATCCTGCACCAGATGTCGATATGGAACAGAGTTATTCGCAGGTAACTAATATGGCACCACCACAAGTTCCAGTTAGTGATACCTTGGAGCCAAAGAAAAAGAAATACGCTAAAGAAGCATGGCCTGGAAAGAAGCTGACCCAATCACTGTTGGTGTAATTGAAATATTCAAGTCTGCATATTTATTGTTAGTGTACGAAGGTTTTAATTTCAATTGTATATAGATCATAAATGCATAATTTGATTTGGACAGAAAATACAAATTTTATATTTTTGTTGTTGTTGAAAATGATGCACTAATCTTGTGGCATAAGCTGTGGTTTATTAAATTAGCAAAGGCACAGTTTTCACACACTTTATGGCTATTTTGGGGGCATCCACTAGCACTACAATCTTTCTGTCCTTCCCATTTTCGGAACACTGTTTTTGAAGTATTCTCTTGTCAAGAAAACTATGACCTGTTTGCATATAAAAAAATGTTTCCGTGTGAATTCATGCTCATACATTCCATATATTTTCAATCAATATTTTCATTTGAACAGAAAGCGTCCAAAATTATCTTCAAAACAATCTGGTAGAGATTGAAGAGAATTGCAAAATGATTTTGAGCACCATTTAAAGGCATAGATGAAGACTGTTGATATTTATTCAATCTAAATGTTAAGGGATCCTATAAAGGAAAACGATGTAGAATTCGAAGTAATTTATGAATACTTCCAGATAAATTTACTGGGTACACCACACCTATACTTTGGAAGTGTAACACATTTTGATGTTGCTCTTCTCTTATTTTTCGATATCTTATAGGACTGATCCATAGTAGTCTTTGTTTTGCTATTTTTTGGGCATCCTTCTTTGGAACGCTCCTTTTCTAAAGAAAAAAAATGTAATGACACAAAGTAATAAAACGCTTTAAGGCAATAAATGAAACAATATTCATTTATTTCCAAACTGCTATAGGAAAATAGATACAGTAAATAAGGTTATACTTCTACTTAGAATTTTTGATAGTTTCACGTGCAAAGAAAAATGTGCACTTTCATGTGGCTGTTCTCTGCTTGGCATGATCCAGTGAAATACTAAAAATTAAGAATGTAATTAAAAAAGTAGGGTTTATTCGTGGGGTTATTAATTAACAAATAAGGTTTATTACTTACATGTCTTTATCCTTTTCAACAATTTTTCTTCCAATTAGGTCGTACTTTATTTGTTTTTTATCATCTATGTCTTCATCAGAATTCGAACTGCACTCATCAGAGCTTGAATCTGCATAACAACCCAAGCCTGGTAAAATTCCGATGCATGTTAATCCACTGTTTGTTTTAGTTTGCGCATTTGTCTCGGTCCTTTTCTTAGCAGATTCCTTGTCTGCATCTGGAGATTCTTCTACTTTGCGTTTTTTAACTATCTCACTATTTTCCATGTTGTCTCGTTTATTATTGCTTGTAACAATAACGCCTTTCAAAAGTTTTGTTTGCGATGGACGATTACCTGTGGGGATCTTTGGTTTGTTTACCACACTTTCAGCTTGTAACTTTTGATCGAGCGATTTCTCCTGCAGGTTAGCAACCCGATTACGATAATCGCTTAACTCGCGTTCTTCCTCGAAGTTTTTGCGACGATCTGCTGCAATTTTGGTCCTATCCACAAGATCTAAGAACTCTATTTCGTCGTCATCGAGGCCTTTTATCATATTCTCTAAAATACAGCGGAATGAATTGACAATGTTTCTTAAAGCAAATTAATATACTTAATTTGTGTGCTTCCTCGTATTCTAGTTCTTTACGTTGTTTCTGTTCCTGAAGACGTTCATAGAGGCTTCTGGAGTCGTAGGGCTGCTCAGGTGCCTCTGAAAAACAAATATTTTGACAAGAAAAGGTAACTAGAAAAGAACTAACCTACAGGATCGTCAGCCTTGCGTACTTTGTCCCATTCTTCCTGTCTCTTCTTTCGAGCTTCAGCTAATTCGTTTTCTGTGATAAAACCTGAGCTCATTACGAGTTTTGATAACAAAAAATTCTTCTTTTTAACAGAATAAAAGTGGTTTTAAAATTGCAAAAGGGGATTTTGATCGGTATATTGGCACTATGTATCGATCCTGTCAATTATATGGCGGCAATTTTCAAATTTGTTGGAAATTATTCCAGATTTTCCAATGAGAACCACGTACCTATAGGTGGAAAATCGTATTACAGCCAATATTTAGTTTTAAAAAGTTCTTTTTTAAGCACATTTAACACTTTGTTACTTCATACACTATACCGTTTGTTTTCTGGTCATCCAGAGGCGTAGCGGAGGGCTTTGGAATAATAAGGGATGCAAATCATAAAGCTACATAGGTACCTCTCAACGTCTTTATTGTACAGAGAACGCTTTCCAAAAACAGACAATAAGTAATTTGAACAGGACATAATGGAAATTTATGGAATGTCTAAAAATGGAACAAGAAACAACAATTGAACATTTACTTCAGGGTCGAGTAATTTCCAATGGAAAAAGAAAGCCCAAACATATTACTGTACGGCTTCAAAATTGTATAAGCACTTATGGTGAAATGAATTATACATAATTTTACATTGCAACTTTGTAATAAAATAATAAAACATATTTTTTGAACAATTTTGAACCAATTTATTTTATGTACCAGGATTCGACTTATTTTTGTATTTGTAATTATCCAGATTTCAGCTTTTCAAAATGTTTGGTCGGTTGAGTGGTAGACGTACCGTAGAAAGCTTTTTCGGAATAAATATATTTACAAATGAAGTTTATTTATTGGCCTCAACCACGATATTAGAGCCTTAAAGGGCCCTAAGTCAATAATGTCTTAAGACAATATTGCCTATACTCTGTAACTAATCTTATAATTATAGACTTAATAATTTTTGCAACTAACTCTATTTCGTCAAGCACAGCGCCCTCCAGCACCCCTTTCACTACGCTCCTGTAGTCATCCCATAACGTATTTAGGCGCAACTAGCATATTGATCTTAAATTCCGTACAGTCTAAGACGAAAATGTACAAAAAAAATTATAAGAACTAACAGGGCCGTATCCATCTTAAAACAGTTTACCAATGATAGCTATAGACTTTCTTTAGCAAAACGTGCCAGAGACCTTTAAAACTGTTCCACTAACTCATTTTTATATAACTACGTAAAATAGCAATTTATTACGTTTATATATGCCAGTTCCTTACAGAGCTATCAATTTCCACGCACGATTTTTAACAATAAGCGCCGTTGATAATTCTGCGTTTGCTAAATATTTAAAGAGTATAGGTAGATACGATTCGATACGCGCAAGTCTACTAGTACATCCCTGTTGCAGTCAATGAATGTACAGGGATGCTGTAAATGTACCAATTTTCCGAACGTTAGTACGGCCGCCGAGATGGAAATCCTCACGAATTCTCCTTTTAATTGATATCAAATCAAGTGATAGTGATGTGTACATATCCTAATCGTGTACTGTGATCTTTCAAATTAACAATAATTAGCGCAAACGGATACTTAAAGTATATATATTCCACTATCGATTTTTACGATTCTTATTTTCACAAATATTTTCGACTCCATCTCGGCGGTGTAATCCATATCAGAAGTCTTCCAAATTTTTTAAATAGTCCACAGTCTTCCCAATGAATAAATTTTGTGAATAAGCTAACTTAGAGTTCCAAAATGTCTTCGCGCTTCGGTAGTATGCGTATACCACCAGTTAGTGCAGCCATAAATGTGGCATGGCAGACTTTAAGGCAACAAATGCCGGAAAAATCGCCAACTCCTGCCCAACCGAACGAGAGAGTGCGTTTTGCACAAGTTAATCACACCAGCACGTCGGAACATCACGAGCTTAGCAATATATCAACAAATCAGTGGTCGCCGAGCGAAAAATCACCAACGGAGAACACGTTCAATCAGGGTTATCAGTCGGGGGGTGATGAGCCCAAGAAGCGGCAGTCTTTCTCATCTTTAGATATTTCCGAAGACGACTTCGTGGAAGGTAAAAGTGACGTTAAGATTAATGAGTACCAAGCGGCCTGGAACGTCACCAATGCGATTCAGGTACTTACGATTTAGGTACCATTATACCAATTACATATTCTTCTAGGGTATGTTCATCGTGTCGCTTCCCTTTGCCGTATTGAGGGGAGGTTATTGGGCCATTGCAGCAATGATTGGAGTGGCCTACATATGCTGTTATACTGGAAAAATATTGGTGGAGTGTTTGTACGAGTTTGACGTACAAACTGGTAAACAAATTAGAGTTCGAGACTCATATGTATCAATTGCAAAGGAGTGCTTTGGGAAGAAGTACGGTGCAAAAGTGGTAAACGCGGCTCAAATTATAGAACTCCTGATGACGTGCATTCTTTACGTTGTGGTATGCGGTGATCTTATGATCGGCAGTTTTCCAAATGGTGCGATTGACACAAGATCCTGGATGATGCTTATTGGCATTGTCTTGCTTCCTTTAGGTATAAAAAGATAAATGTTGCAACAATTACTAACACTATAATCATGCAGGGTTTCTAAAGTCACTCAAAAGCGTGAGTCTTTTGTCATTCTGGTGTACAATGTCGCACATCCTCATAAACGCGATCATAATTGGCTATTGCATATTGGAAATAAGCGATTGGGGCTGGAGTATGGTGAGATGGTCAGTCGACATGGAAAATTTTCCCATTTGCCTTGGAGTAATCGTATTTTCCTACACCTCACAAATATTTTTACCTACTCTGGAGGGTAACATGGAGGATCCGTCGAAATTTCAGTGGATGCTGGATTGGTCGCATATTTGGGCAGCTATATTTAAGTCGCTGTTTGGCTACATTTGCTTTCTTACATTTCAAAATGACACCCAACAGGTGATCACGAATAATTTGCATTCGGCAGGATTTAAAGGTTTTGTTAATTTATGTCTGGTAGTTAAAGCGCTTTTAAGCTACCCTCTTCCGTATTACGCGGCTTGCGAACTTTTAGAACGCATTTTATTTAAAGGCCGCCCTAAAACCCCATTCCCGACTATCTGGGCGCTTGATGGCGAGTTAAAGGTATGGGGCTTGGCTTGGCGCGTTGGTGTTATAGTTTTTACTATACTAATGGCTTGTTTCATTCCGCATTTTTCTATTTTAATGGGATTTATTGGTAGCTTTACGGGTACGATGCTGAGTTTCATTTGGCCCTGCTACTTTCATTTGAAATTAAAAAGAAACGGAATGGATTCACAAACTGTTATATTCGATTATTTCATTATATGCCTCGGTGTACTTTTTGGTGTCATTGGTATGTACGATTCGGGAAGCGCCTTGATAAAGGCGTTCGAAATTGGGCTGCCATTTTAAATGCTTCAAATTAAACAGTTCCTTGTGAGTAATTACAAATATATGTGGTTCAAATTTTAATCGACCTTATATCAGTCGACAGTTATATGACTATAATGCTAAAGCAGTTGATAAGTGGAAGATGGGTCTCCAATTATGTCATGAATGTGCGTAACTCAATTTAAATTTTAAAGTAAACGAACGCAAATGCGACATTAAAAGAATCTTCCCTGAAGATAGCATATTTTTATCTCATTTATCTATTTAATTAATGTACAACTTTAAGGCTACAATATGTACAAAAAGTGATTCAAAAATATTGTCTAAGTAGACGATTTTACTAGGTAAATGTTATAACGAAGTCTTCCATTAACATTAATGCCTTTGAACAATTTTCCAAAACGTGTGGTCGTAAAAATTATGTCAATAGCGGTGTCTTCCTTTAAAAGAATCCTGTAAGTTTGTAAATATTAATTTACTTAGAATCGTAGACATATTAGGGACTAATAACAATAAATTAAGTGGAGTTAAAAAGTCAATATCGATTATTAAGATAAAAAAATTGATGTCTTCCAATCTGCATTGGCAGTATGTGTATAGATTATACGTGTAACCTTTTGTCTTCCATAAAAAATGTACCCAAAGCAGTGTAATATTAAATGTAGTTGTGGATATTTAAATGTAAATGCTGTATTGTTGTATATTACCTACACTGATTAAGTATATCGTCAAGGTGCTTCAATTAAGCAATGTATTGTTAGTCCTTGTTAATCACTGTTAACAAAGATTGGATGCAGAGATGCTTTCACTAGCCAGTAACACTTACCTAGCGGTAGGTACACATAAGTCATATCACGTGGAACATGCGTAGGGACACGAATTGTAGAAATCTCTGCCTCCAATTGCGTCATAACTTTATTTATTGCTGATCAATAGTAAAAATAAAAGAGTTAATGAATGGCGTTGCAGTTAATGTCTGTTATTTTATAGAGCATACTAAATTGACTTCAATAGGTAGACCGTTTCATTTTAAGTAAGTACTCGTAGATAAAATGGTTCTTTAACAACGACAGCCGATAAAGGCGAAATAACGGAAGCACAATCTAATGACAGTTGTACTAGCTCATAACTCATAACTTTTATTGTTTCCTGTTGACAATATAATATTGTATTAGGGCATGTCACAAAATGAAGATAAAAGAAAGAAAAAGGGAAAGAAAACATTGACATAATTTAACATAAAGATAACATAACATAACTTAAAACCTTGAGCGCTTACTTACTTCTAAAAACTCGTCGACAGTGTAAAAAGCATTTTCGCTTAGAATATTTTTTATTGACCTTTTAAAATCTTTGAACGTATGCTGGTTTTTAATTGAGGTTGGGAGGTGGTTGAATAATTTGATTCCTACAGAGTTTGGAGATTGTTTTGAGATTTTTAACCTTGCCATGGGTATACTAAGGTCTCCTTTATTTCGGGTATTTCATTGTTGCGCCTAAGTTGGTGTTTATTTTTGTAGATATGTGTTAATACTTCCAATATATATAGCGATGGAAGGGTGAGGATGTTATATTTAATGAAGTATGGTCGGCATGACTCCCGCTGCTTTATGCCCAATAAACATCGTATTATACGTTTTTGTACAATAAAAACTTTAGCGGCCAGTGTAGATGATCCCCAGAAAAGAACACCGTAACATAACCTCGACTGAACCTCCGCATAATAGAAGGACAATGTGAAATATACACCAATCAACTGTCTGATACTACGGATTTGAAAGCAACAAACATTAAGCTTTTTTATCAAGCATAAGCAGTGGCACTTCCAGTTTAATTTTGAATCCAAGCACATTCCCAGGTATTTCCCTGATTGTTGCACTGGAACATTAGCAAGAAGGGATACATCGGTGGTGGGAGAAATAGAAGAAAATAAAATGCAGTACGTTTTGCTATTGTTTAAATGAAGTTTGTTAAAATTAAACCACCCTTGAAGCGTCGATAGAATTCCACTTGCCCGTTGTTGTAGGTCAAGAATAGTTTTACCGGAAACTATTGCAGTAGTGTCATCCGCATACATGATTACAAAATGTGATAATTTTAGGTATGTAATTTCTCTGGAAATGGCGGATGGTGGCAATTATTCATTTTAGAGAACTTGTCTAACCGTTTATTGAGCGAAATTTCGGGTTGTGTTTTCTAAAAGTGACAGCGTGACAGTTCTCATTATTGACTACTAGTTAATAATGTCCACATTATTAACCACTTTGAACAAATGCCGAGAAAGCCTACTTTACAAGTGGAAAAAAGGTTAATAATCATGTTATCAGACGCTAGTAGTGAAAAAAATAATTTTTTCTCCAACCACCTGAATAAGACGCTATTTTGTGACAGTGTTCGGTACGTAAAATTGACGTTTTGCGGATTAATCGCTTTCACCATGGCAACTGTACAAAAAGTGGATACTTTTGGTCCTAGTACCAAAAAGAAATTGACCTTGAAAGTTGACCAATTAAAAAATTACAATCACGGAGATATGTCACATTGACATCGGTTTACATTGCAGGTTGTAAGATATTTCTATACATACAAATCAAATATTTTTGCATATTCAATGCAAATAATGCTGTTACCTATACGTATGTACATGTATTGAAAATGATTTACGCTCGCTATTTTTATTTAAACCATGTGTAACGTAATTTACATATTCGGTGAACGTAATTTTAATACGTATACAACCCGCCGTCGCGCGTAACGCCATCTACTTAAGACACATTGCACTATTATCTGTCATTTTGAATTCAAAATTTGAAAAAGTTAATTGCAATTAATTTTAATTAAAAAACTGTATGGTAAGTTTTTTATTTCAATACAAAATATAACAATATTAATTGTGTATGCATTAGAAATGACTGAAACTGATAGCGACATGGATTGCACTCCGCCAGAGATTATAGAAACGGCAGAACATGCTACCTCAAGATTTGCTCCCTACAAAGTCGCGAGAGGTGAGAAGTAAGAAGTAAGAACGAATAGGTTATAAGTTAACCTAAAAACTAGAGTGGCATGACACGTGAGAACAAGAAAGCAGATGTTCTTATACTAGTAGTGAAACTGTGACTGAATCTAAATTCGAATATAATTTGAAGTAAAGGAGGTTGGAGAAAAAATTTTATGTTTTATTCGTACAAAAAATGCGTTTTCGGGACTCGGAAGGTTGCTGGACTCCGCTGACGCGTCGTCCAGCAACTATCTTCCTCGTCCCGAAAACTGACATTTTTTGTACTAATGAAACAAATAACTATTATTTACGTAGATGGTATTGACCAGCAATTTACAATCATACTATCCGAGTATTTATCATTTATTAGTAATACGTTTATCTACAATAAATTATTTCCCTATGAGATGTTACCCAGCGCGTTTTTACTTGCGTTAATTTGTCATGCAGTGGCCGAGATTTTTTAGTACAACCCTCTTTGGTTTAGAGTTAGAGTACCATGATGACACAAGATCAAGAATACTTCGACCCTATTTTCATAACTAACGTATATATCACCAATAAACATTATTATTATTATTATTATTATTATTATTAACTGTTTAGACATCAAATAAAATTGTTTTCTATCCGACTTTAGATTTTCGCTCCTTTGACATGATTAGTTTTTCTAAGGCAGAAGTTGGCATTTCCACGAATAAACATAGCACTACACCGAATACCGTCGATATGACTACATCTCCTATTGCTCGATGAATCTAGTAACAAAATACTGACTAACACATTCATAATTAGTTACTCATTAGCATTACCATTTCAGGGTCCGATATATAGATCGTCGATCTGGTATGGCCACTTCGTATAAGTATTATTGTGAAATGTACCAAGTACACGCAGTACGAAAATTTTCCTAAGAATTGCAAATCCGGTATCATTACGATGTCTTTGACCAACCCTATAAAAATACAATGAAAAATTCTGCAGTAGATTTCATTTAAAGATACAGCTGAAAGCAAATTTTGATCCGATTATATGTCTCGTAAGGTGTTTGCAGACACTAATACAGACAGAAGGTAACTTTCAGCTACGTAAGAATCTTTAATTCACACCTACATCCTATATTTTGGGTAAACCCAAAAATCATGAGGCACATTCCAAATGCATACAGGTTTCTAGAGAGGCCCACGTATACAGCAGTTTCTAAGCTCGAAGGTGTATAATTGTCATCATGTAAAAGTAGACCCAACAATATTACAGTGAGTGGGAATGAGAACACCACCACAAACCATAATATATGCTGATACTGTGTAAAATATTTGGTTTTATTTATATCTACTTGATTTTCCGTCGTTACCGTCTTTGCAAAAAGTTTCTTGTTTCGATTCTTATAGTACAGGTAACCGCCAATTAGGCCTATTGTGTAACCACCGATAGAAGTGTGCCCAGGTACCATGAAGTATGACCACTCAGGAAGATTTACAAGGCGAGTTTGAAGATTCCTTCAACAAACAATACTATTACGTTATTTCAGATGTGCAGACTTACTCTGGATACGCACGCAGCACTATGTGAATATCATGTATATAAGCAAGGATGCCTGGTACCAACACTCCCATTATTAACGAAGCGGCAAACACTTTGGAAGCAATCCTTCTGTTTTTCCATATAATTGAAAGTAGAAGTAGGGAGTACAAGAAGAGTTGAGTGTCGGCTGCTAGATACCAGCTATGCGGTAGACACTACACAGAAAAATTAGAAATGTGACGTAGAGGGTGAGTCAACGATTGCGCGGAGTAACTTAATGCCTTGAAGATAAGACTTTTCGATAGAATTTTTTTGTATTAAAATATGGTTGAACATTCTCCACATTTTAAAAATATTTGGAATTATACAGGGTGCGCTCACAAAGTAGAGCGCCAAAATGGTGCATTTTTTTTAATGGAACCCCCTGTATTTGAATGCATTTTTTAAGCGACAAACACTTTGTAAGTAATACTTCTGTTTTTCCATATAATTGAAAGTAGATGTAAGGAGTACAAGAAGAGTTGGATGTCGGCCGCTAAATACCACCTTTGCTGTAGACACTAACACGGAAATTATTATAAATGTCTAACAATTAGAGGTGAATTTTGTAACTTAATGTCAGGCACAAGAATAAAAGGAGGAGAAGAATTGAAGAAAAATAATAGCGTATCAAAAAAATTTACCATGTTTCTCTCCTCGTAATAGTTGTTGACGTAAAGCAAATTGGCCCACCAGTTTTTTCTGCAACTGCGATACTCGTTTCCAACAGCTTGGTCCCACACCGGACCCCTAGCCAAATGCGGCAACCACGTGGCGTTGATTGCTACAACCACAGCTAACGGTATCGTCAATCTAATATGATACTATGTAGTTAACTGTTTGAGTAAGTCCTCTCTTACCTTACGTATCTATGAACAAACGCGTATAAAATGTAAGTAAACTGAAAGTGGACCTTTTCGAAAGTCAAGAAGAAGTGGTAAGATAATAACCACCCAGACATTACGAAAAAAGTTTGCGTAGCGGTATGGCCATTTAAAAATAACATAGCTTTTGGATCAAAAGTCATCTAAAAGCATAAAAAGATAATGCCAAATTAAAACAGTTAACATACTTTTTCCATGTATTGCGGATTTGATACAAAACCACATGAAGAAGCCATAAAACTATGACAAACAACTACTGCTATCATACTGAAGAAACGCATTCCGTTCATACACTTTAATTGATTAGCGTCCGGATCCGTGTGTACCATGGAGAGTCTATCCCAATTCTTTGGTATTGAGAAACATTGCATTATCTTCCCATCTTCATTATTCAAACGAAAAAATATTTTTCATGAATACATATGTTTTGCACACATAAAATGTAAGAAATGAGTAAATAAACAGTTGACCTATACTTGCATTTAGTTGAAGTGATTCGATCGTAATCTTCTTTTGATTTATACCGTGCAACTCCTTCGTATAATGACGAGTAGGTTACTATTACTAATAGCGATAGCAGGACTATTCTGGAAGAGTGGTACGGCAATGTAAGAAATAATATGCACTTGAGTTTTAAAGAAACCGGACTAAACGCAATTCAAAAATGGAAATTAACAGGTTTTAGTCCCTCAATTACAGGAAATGAAATAGCTCCAAAATAATTTTTCAAAATCAATGTTGAAAATAAGGGGACATACTTTAGTTAGACTCCCCTTCCCCTATTATGCTAAAAATTTTAACGTTCCATTTTTCATTGGTTGATTTTCCCTCTCATGACTAAATTTGATGAAAACTATTCAGTTTTTGTTCAAACTAGCAATAACCAATGACAACTTACGCTACAATTGTGTCAAGATAGTCGACACGATATAATGATTTCTCAGTTTCACAATGAATTTTCGTAACGTGCCCTTTCAGTCCATATCCTTTCAACTTTGCGGAGTAACAGTCGCTAATTCCTTTTTGCCTAATTTTGTTCGTTGATCCATTTTGAACGACATTCGGACATGTGAATGGTACACAAATTCCATGCCGCAACCAATCATGTCGAAAATTCTTTCGCGATGAATTCAATTCCTACAAATATGTTAATCAATTAAGAACTTTCGCATATCCCAGCTAGTGCATAAATGAAACCAAATCGTATTGACCTGCATCGTTTCCCAGACTTTTAAATCGGCTGCTCCATCAAGTGGCGCTAGTTGCATTTTAAATGTACAATACAACGCATTTTCGCCTAACATGAGACATCGATCAAAGTCATCTAAGTGAAATAACTCTGGCATTAATGCATAGTTCCCTTCTGAAAACAATAATAATAAATGAGGGTGTGGGACATATAAGTACACCGACTAGAAACTTCTGCAAATACCTCAACAATTAAAGTGCTTAGTAAAACTAATGCATCCATTTTCTTGTTTAGGTGTATGCAGGTTTATTTACTTGTTATATTTAAGGAAATAAACGGCAATCAGATCTGAGTGGTGTAAACCTAAAAATTAAAAGTAATGGAGTGTGTTAATAGAATAAAACACTTACCGTTCAATTACAATTTGTAGATGTAATGAAGTGGGTATTGTATCATATACTTAGATGTGTTTACCCATAAATCGGGGCACGATGTCGCGATAGCATTCGAGGCATATACTTTATCTTTAAAATGATAACTGATCTAATTTGTGTATCAGTCACTATTTTATATTTAGTAGATAATTTAATTTCCGAACCGAACCGAAAGTTCCAGTTAGAAAACCTATTTATAAATAGCCTGCATTGATTCCTAATCTGTTCCAAAGTTCGTACTCATATGAAAGTCTTGATACAGTTGTCATAAAAAGCATGCTAGCTGCAATTTTATTTTATTTGTATTGATCACATCGGGGAATGAATTTTATAATTTTTGTAAAACCATCTTTAAAGTTCTGGTTCGGAACCAGAATGTATAATAGGGAAAAGAAATAAGTACGTCTTGTTGTTGTTACAAAGATCAAATAACGACATGAAAGGTTTCGCATCGTGTGCAATGCATTGTAACGAAGCACCCGGAATTTATGCATTTCCTTTGCCGTTTACAAAGACCACCCTGTATAGTAATGATTGGTTTGGGCTTCGTTACGCAAGAAGACCGTGATATGGAGCATTTTCCGCAATGCCATGGAGATACCGTAATTAATTAGTCCGCCTACGACCTCTCCTGTTGGAATTATTTTTGTAACCACCGAAGGATGTTGTCCTGGCGAAGATGAGGGACAATTAATATTTTTTGGTTTCAGGGCCGTTAATTATTTATAAGATGTTTTAGATTCCCATAATAAGTAAAATCAAGGATAGAACGAGTTTGAACCGGACTAGAACTAGATTCAAATCGTTTACAAGTTTTGAGTCCCGTCCGTATGCCTGCATGTTGCGATAAGAGTGTTAAAGCGATAGCGCCGTTTGGAAAGAAAAAGTCCAAGGGAGCTAGTTGCAGATTGGATTGATGAGTACTTAGGTTTGATTACGCTTAAGTAAGCGCTGTTAATTAATGCCATGTTAGTGGGCAGTAGTAAACCTTATCAGAAACCGTCGAGAGAGGTGTCCACAGAGGCGCTGTAATTTTTCTAGTTGTTTGCAAGTTGTCCCAGATTTTTAAGATAACCACAGGAGCCGCAATTAATTAAAAACCGAATTATTTTCTACACCGCTCCGTGCGAGTGCAGCGAGGCTTTGGGGTTCCATGTTCTACTTCTACCAAAATGGGTTTCCTTTAAAAGGAAAACGCTCAGTTTGGGAAGTATCTTTCTGCTTCATACTTTCGAGTTGTAAGTACGCCTTTTGATTTCTTTAATTTGCGAAACCGTATCATTCCGAATTCACCGAAACCCTTTTAATTTACCGTTTTCCCTTTTGAACGACCGTAAATCAGTCCGTTGCCTTTCCTTTTCACTACCGTTTTGAGTTTACCTGTTTTTGCACTACCGTAACTTTTGCTACCGTTCCGCTAAGCTTCATTACCGCCTTAAGCTTAAACTACCGTATTTTCTATCGATAGTGTTATCACCGTTTGGCTGAATTTAATACCACCGTTACTTAACAAAGGCAAGCGCTTAATTTTCAATTACGTTGATTAAAGGGGGGGAAGTATATTCTGTTCTCCTTGCTTTCCGCTTTTCTTTCCCCTAGACACCGCTAATTGATTTGTGCTTCATTGCTTTATTCCCTTTAGGAAATTTACCGTCAGGGCCGTCGGCCATATTTTGTTTTAGATAATCCGGAAGTGACCGCTGCCATTTTGTGGTGAACTTTGACCGATCCCTGGTATATTCCGTTCTCCACTAGAGGATACCCGGAGGCTTTCCACCCCGTCCGAGAGAAGACCGCCCCTTTTCCCAAGACTTCGAGGGTGCAGAGTTAAGTCTTGGTGGCGCCCGAGAGACCGATCGACCGTCTACTGTGTGATAATTGAATTGTACAATTATATTATTGTTCGACAATTAAAGGAACTTGAAATAATTGTGCTTTCCTCATTTAGAATACCGTTCGTGCACGAGCTAAGGGGGAAGTTCGTCGCAGCATGCAAGTGCATAGGAGGTTTTCTTTATATGTAGTTATTATAGGTTCCGTCGATAGGCCCTTCAGGTTGTGTCGCTTCTAGATAATCTGTTTTAACATTCTGCAAGTTGCTGTCTTTGGATTCAAGGTCGGCACTTTGTAACATTCTGTCAAGCATCTTATGTTTTAAAGTGTCTTACGCCTTCTAATCTTTATCAAATCTTTTCAACCCTCTTCTCTCCTAAACTTTTTAAAGTTTGTAAATTTGCGTTGTATCAGTAAATGAGGTCGGCAATTAAAAAACCGATCTAAACGCAAATACAATCAAAGTGTCGATTTTTATTAGTATAGCTATTTATGTATTAAAAGCGCGAAATACATTTATTTACAATAAATTGTTTGTCTATGGGACACTCTCTTGACATTAATTTTAATTAAAATAAAAACATTCCAACGTGTTTTTACTTGTGAATTTGTTACGTAGTGACCCAGAAATTTGTTTCCTATAACCCCCTTTAATTCAATTCAATTCAATCTTTGTCTTTATACCATAAGTAGCTTACAACACGTTAGTAATGGGTAAATCATATAACACAAAATAGAATTAAACATAGTTTAAAATTTTAAATAAATAAAAGCGAGACAAACCATGTAGCTAAAATAGAGTACTACAAATTACAAACGGTTTATTAGATTTTAGAAAAAATAAGACAAAACATAGGTAAAATAAGATAATACAAAATTACAACAGTTTCAAAAATAGTTGTAAAAAAACAAGCACCATGATGACACAAGATCAAGAATCCTTCGACACTAATTGCATAATTCTTTAGATATCCATTAATATTATTTTCTATCCGACTTTAGATTTTCGCTCCTTTGACATGATTAGTTTTTCTAAGGCAGAAGTTGGCATTTCCACGAATAAACATAGCACTACACCAAATACCGTCGATATCACTACATCTCCTATTGCTCCATGAATCTAACAACAAAATACAGATTGAACATGTTCATAATTAGTTACTCATTACCGTTTCAGGGTCCGATATATAGATCGGCGATCTGGTACGACCACTTCGTATATGTATTATTGTGACATGTACCAAGTACACGCAGTACGAAAATTTTCCGAAGAATTGCATACTCGGTATCATTACGATGTCTTTTATCAACCCTATAAGATTACAATGAAGCATTTTGCAGTAGAGCTCATTTAATTGTGTAGCTGAAAGCAAATTTTGGCCCTATTGTTTGTAAAACAGACAACAGGCGGTATAAAATCAGCTTTTAGCCACGCAAGAATCTCTAATTGCTATTTCACACTCACATCCTCCATTTTGCGTAAACCCGAATATCATTAGGCACATTCCAAAGGCATACAGGTTTCTAGCAAGACCCACGTATATAGCAGTTTCTAAGCTCGAAGGTGTATAATCATGTAAACGTAGATCCAAAAATATTACAGTGAGTGGGAATGCCATCGCTATCACAAACCATACTATATGCTGATACTGTGCAAGATTTACTTATTTTTATTTATACCACTTGATTTTCTATTATTACCATCTTTGTAAATAGTTTCTTGTGTCGATTTTGATAGAAAAGGTAACCGCCAATTAGGCCTATTGTATAACCACCGATAGAATTATGCCCAGGTACCATGAAGTATGACCACTCGGGAAGATTTACTCGGCCAGTTTGTAGATACCTTCAACAAACAATACTAAGTATAACCACAGATATACGTAAAGAACAGATTGCTAACCATAATCAAAGATCATACTTTTGCCATAATGCATAAATTGCTTAACAGATTTATCCACTTAATTTAACACCTATCTCCTTAAAAGAGCCCTCTATTTAGGAATGTTATTACCACAAACAGTTTAGTATTTGGTTCTTGAAGAAGGTTGAAACATTTTCTATGCATTTAACGGTAGGTGTCACTGTAAAAGTCGATCAAGTCGACTCGGTTGCGCTTATCTTATCTACGCCAATATTAGATGATATTTAACTATTTATAAATTCTTATTTACTACAACTCACTTTTGCTATAGCATTTCGAGTGTTAGACGGAGAGCTGGCTACGGAAAAAAGTGACTTATCCCTACATGGCTGATTTGTTGTCAAGTATGCTGATACATAATGAAGTAGAAAAAGTCATGTCTGCCAGCGAAATCCCGTGCCTTAAGGTTGGGAGGGGTGGTCAAATAAGTCAAAAAATCAATGAAATGTACAGCTTATCAAGGTACATCTTTTTTGTATTTAACATTTTTCGCTATGATGCTTACTTTTCGAGAAAAGTGCAAATTAAAAAAAATTATAAAATAAATAGTTAAACTTATCAATTTAAAATTTCTCAAAAACTAAGAAACTCACAAAAAGATGTAATTGATTTTTATGTGGAGTTTTGTATGCCACATTTGTCAGTGTGTGAAAAATGATTACAAAAGAGTTTTTGTTATGGCCCTTTTAAACTGTATGCATGTGGTTCGTTTCTTGTGAACACGATAACTCAAAAACGCCTGAACCGATTTTTATGAAATTTGGAATGTTTAAGGATTGTATAGGGAATGGCACACGACCTATTTTGGTTTCGGTCCGTTACCATCTTCAGGGTTTTTGAGGGTGTTAAAAGTTTAAAAGGGCCATAACGGCGTAAAGACAATTTTTGTAATTTTTTCGCATACACTGGCTAAGGTGGTACAAAAAACTCTACAAGAGAGTTCATAACAATTTATTTGTGAGTTTCTAAGATTTTGAGCAATTTTAAATTGAACTGTTAAACTCTTTCATTTCATAATTTCTCTAAATTTGCACTTTTCTCAAAAAGTAAGCTGCATAGCAAAAAATGTTACATATAAAAAAAAGAAGTGCATTGATGAGTTGTACAAAAAAGTCTCATTCATTTTTTGCGTCAGATTCAAAATAAATGCGACAGAGGTAAATATAGTCGGAAGATCGGCAGTTTTATTAAAATTTGACATACTTGAGCGCCCCTCCCAACATTAAGCCACGGGGTCTCACTGGCAGACATGACTTCTTCTACTTCACTATGTATCAGGATACTTTACACAAAAAATCAGCCATGTAGCGATAAGCCAGCTCTTAAGACTATAAAGGCTTATTTTCCGATTTGTTATTTATTTTACCCAAAAATTGTTTAAATACGTTAAACAATGCCATTGACTAATACCCCCCCCCCCCACCCCCCAATATTAGTCAATGACAATACCCAAAACGAGCTTATAAAGTTTGCGTTTTTTAGAGAACGTTTGAACGAAATGATATAGAAATCAAAGAAATCAGTATAAAAACCATGTTGGTTGAAAGTACGAGGGTTTTTACAAAAGTTTTAAATTTTAATAAAACACATTAGATATTTGTGAATGCTTTTTTGATAACAAATCTTAGGAGTCCTACAGGAACTAAGTTTTGATTATTCAAAAATATAGGTACTATATGTTCGTTGAAACTGTAAAAATTAGCAATAAGTTATTCAGTCCCACAGATGTAACACCCCGAAAAGTAGTTTTATTTAGGGCCTGATTAATCTCGGATTGTCTGAACCGTTTCAATAATAAATTCCTGGAGGAATTTCTACAGGCTCTGGTGTGTTTCGAGGATCCACAATTTCTGGCAAATAAACCGCTAAAGCAGATCTAAACAAGTAGAAACGTTTTCGCCCTAAGGCGAGTAACTTCAGTGCATTTTCCATAAATTGATCAATACTACCCCAAAGGCCATACCTATGTGCGCTATGTTTACTAGAGGCATATATGGTTAAAATTTTAAAGAAATATCTGCATAAATAAGGAAGTTGACACTTACTGCGCAGTTGATATTGCGCGTCCTGCGCATGCGCCTATTAATCTGATATTTACAATATGCAATACGTTCGCTTTTACTATAAGCATCTTTGGTTAAAATTTCAAAGAAATATCTCCATAAATAAGAAAGTTGGCATTGCGCAGTCTGCGCATGCGCACATCTGATTTTTACTATATGCGATATGCGATATATGCCTTTACTACAAGTATCTGTGATTAAAATTTCAACAAAATGTTATTATTATGTTATAATGTATTAATAAATAAAAAAATTAACAGAAAAAGCGGCTGCAATAGCGCACCCAACTTCGTTCGAAAATGCGCTAAAAAGCGGCAGAGCATCTCGGGTGACCCTACGGCGTCATTGAATTTGACCCATTTCTTATAAGCTTTTTACAACCTAATTGTTCCGCAAAAGATATTTTAACCACAGGTTCATGGGTAATTCCATAATCGGTATATTTTGAAGATGTAAATCAGGCATGTCAAACACGCGGCCCCCATGTCGCTTGTGGCCCACCGTTCTACAATCTGCGACCCGTCAGGATGTTCGCAGATTATAAAATTGAAATATGTAATTGAATTGTACCGCATGTTCTATTTTGGTTGAGAATCAGCTGTTTTTAAAGATAGTTAAGTTTGCGATTTTTCGCGACCCTGTGTCACTTTTTTGTGAAACTACAAACAAAATCAATCTAGCTACGTTTGTTTCTGGGATACAAAGTTGAAAACGAAAGGTTTGACTTTTTGGGATGATATCGTATCTTACTATCCATGTAGGATAGAAAATAGGTAAACACTGTTTATTTTAGACACTGTTACGTAGAATCCAGTGGCTTAGGCAAAAAAACTTTTGGACCACCGTTTCTGAGGGTCTGAGGCCCAAAGTTGGCATTTTTTTATATGTGACACCCTGTATATCTTAACGTCAATTGTTTGCAGTCCTTTTCCTGATTACATTTATGCATCACACAACTGTATATATTTTTTTTAGCAATGAAAATCAATTAAAACCTTATTTTTACTGTAATCAAATAGTATGCCATGAATTCATGGAGATTTTGTTTTGTTTATTGTATCCACGGTAACTAAGGCATTCGATACCAATCAATAAAAATGGCTGAAGGTAGAAATATGCCATTTCAAAATTTTGAGAAATATGATAGAATATATAATTAAATAAAAAATATAGAATGATACATCAATGTAATCACGAAAAAGAATGCAAAAAATGGACGTTAAAATATACAGGGTGTTACATTAAACAAATTCCAAGTTTGGGTCGAATCACAGAAATTGTTTTTGCCTACGCCACTGGATTCTACGTAAAAATATCTAAAATACGCAGTTTTTATCTTTTTAGCGCATTTCCACAAAAATAAAAAAAAATGCGCTATTGTGGCCACTTTGTCCGTCCGTCCGCTCGTTTTGAGACGCTACTAGTTTTTTATCTTAAGAGCTATTAATTGTTCTACTTTTTTCGCTATTTGGTTCGTTATGGTGTCGAGTCTTGCACCAAGGAAGGATTTTTTTCTGTACCGCTTACAAAAAAAGTTATTGTAAAAAAAACAAAAAAAAACCGTTTTTTACATGTTCCATAATTTTACACTTTTGCCGTTTATTAACGATCCTAGAGATCGTTTATAATTTTGCATTGCTGTCTGTCGTCTGCCTGTTGGTTTGTCCGTCTGTTCCTTTGTCTGTCTGTCGCTCTATCTGTCCGTGTGAACAATAACTTTGTTTAGAACTGTCCGATCGCTTTTACATTTCCGTTAGTTATGAACTGAATTGCATGAAATTCAATATGGGCATAGCTTTAGCCATATAATACGCAATGCCAAAAGTTGAGTCGAATCGATTCAAAATTCACAGTGCCCTTTTCGCATCTTCACCATTTATAAACCGAATTGCAAACTTTTTTAATTATAAAAGTATTTAAATGAAATTTGATACATAGCCACTTGGAATAAAAGCAAATTTAACGCCAATTTCAAAATTTGGTTTTGCGCATGCGCAGTGTCGACTTTCTTATTTATTTACAATTTTAACAAAAGTTGCATCTTACAAATAGGAAATGAATGCCAGTGGAAATGCGCTTTATGTAAATCGTTTACGATTACTTTTTAACTTGTTTGTATCTTACACTGTAAGTACGTGTACATTTTCTTGAGCTGGTACTAATGATTTTATGATTATTTCTACTTTTTCGTTTTATTGTATTATTATTTTGTATACTTTTTATGTTAATAATAAGAAATTAAAATTTTCTTAATGTAAACTTTTTTGTGATGTGGCCTGCAGCTATCTGTGGAAACCTTAAAATGGCCCTTGATGATAAAATTTTTTATTTCCGCATTTATCTTTTCTAACTTTTGGACGAATAAGGCTTTTTGAGATTGATATATTTCTGGGTTTGCTATTTCAGCAGCTAATGGACCATATTCTTCAATATCAAATCAATAAGAATTATACACCACAAATAATCTTCATGTGTAAATAAATTAAGCCTTTTCATAGAAAGTTTTTATTATTAGGGAAATAATATTACAAAGACAGTTATCAGTACCGTAGTTTGAATATCGAAGGTGCAGTTCAAATAAAAAATGCCTTATTATACCTGAAAAAATTTAGGAACCTTATTTTTTACACAATCCTAGTACATACAACTACGTCAACTGTTTATCTACCTATTAAATAGCAAAGGAATAAATCTGTAAGTATTTGCACTTGATTCGCGTACTCAACACCAAATAAATAGTTAAAAAATTACTTAGTTCAGAGAAATACTGCGTATCTGCCCCACTGACCTAAATAAAAATAGGGGTCAGTGATCTGCACTTGTTGATGTACTCATAATCCACCAACATAAAGAGGAGAAATCTGTAGATTATTGAAGAATGAAGATACCTACGGTGGGTTCGTTCATTCGTTGTACCCTGTCCTCTAACAGAGAAAATGAATACTTTCGAAATTTGCATTAGGGATTGCGTCTTTAATAAAGCAAATTTAATTTCCTCAAATTTTTCCTACTTGTAGGCAACCCGTTATACTTATTTGCATTACAGCTGCGTTTACTAAATTTCCATTTAGTTAGCAATCTGTTCTTTACGTATATCTGTGGTATAACATTATTTCAGAAGTCCATACTTACTCTGGATACACACGCACCACTATGTGTAAATCATGTATATAAGCGAGTATGCCTGGCACCAACACTCCCATTATTAACGAAGCGGCAAACACTTTGGAAGCAATCCTTCTGTTTTTCCATATAATTGAAAGTAGAAGTAAGGAGTACAAGAAGAGTTGAATGTCGGCTGCTAGATACCAGCTATGCGGTAGACACTACACAGAAAAATTAGAAATGTGACGTAGAGGGTGAGTCAACGATTGCGCGGAGTAACTTAATGCCTTGAATAAGATTTTTCGATAGAATTTTTTTGTATTAAAATATGGTTGAACATTCTCCACATTTTAAAAATATTTGGAATTATACAGGGTGCGCTCACAAAGTAGGGCGCCAAAATGGTGCATTTTTTTTAATGGAACCCCCTGTATTTGAATGCATTTTTTAATTATACATGCAGTTGTACGACATTTATATGGTTAATATCCGAAAAACTAGTAGCTTTAAAGATAATTCGAAAAATGAATTAATTGATATGATGTTCGATTAGGACGAAGCAGATAAAAATTGCCTTTTTTGCATGGCCACCTCTTTATTCTGTAAATTACATATAACTTAAGATTAGAATATAAAAACAAACATTTCGAAAACTATGAGAGATAGGTATAGGACATTATTATCAAAAGTTGAATGTTTTTGGAGGAGTTAAAAAATAAAATAACAAAAAAACATACAGGGTGTTCCATATAATAAAAGTGAAATTATGTAACTTTGGGCCCACAAAAAAACCCTGTAAGCTATTTTTTAATGTTTCATAGCATTTATTTGACTTTTACTTTACGCAGGATACACAGAGACTGGAATCAAAATTTAAGTAATAATTTTGCCAATAAACTGACGCTTACAAATGCCAAATCGAATTATCTTTAAAACTACTAGTTTTTCGGATCTTAACCATATAATAAAAAAAAGTCGTACAATTACACGTAGAATAAAAAAAATTGAATGCAGGGGGTCTCATTTGAAAAAATTTACCATTTTGGCGCCCTACTTTGTGAGCGCCACCTGTATAATTCCAAATATTTTTAGAATGTGGAAAATATTCAACGATATCATAATACAAAACCCGTCTATCGAACAATCTTATCTTCAAGACGTTAAGTTACTCCGCGTAATCGTTGACTCACCCTGCACAGAAAATAATTTCTAGAGACAAAGCCCTAGAAAATGGAAGCAAAATACTATACCTATACGGTACGATGAAATTTACCATGTTTTTCTCCTCGTAATAATTGTTAATGTAAAGCAGATTTGCCCACCAGTTCTTTCTACAACTGCGATACTCCCTTCCAACAACTTGGTCCCACAACGGACCTCTAGCAAAATGTGGCAGCCACGTGGCGGTAATTGCAACAACAACAGCTAACGGTATCGTCAATCTAACATGATACTATGTAGTTAGCTGTTTGACTAAGTCTTCTCTTACCTTACGTATCTATGAATAAACGCATATAAAATGTGAGTAAACTGAAAGTTGGCCTTTTCGAAAGACAAGAAGAAGTGGTAAGATAATAGCCATCCGGACATTACGAAAAAAGTTTGGGTAATGGGATGACAATTTATATATGACATGGATTTTGGATCAGAGGTCATCTAAAAGCGTAATAAGATTATGTCAAATTAAGACAGCTTATGTACTTTTTCAATGTATTGCGGATTTGATACGAAACCACTTGCAGAAACCATAACACTATGACAAACAACTACTGCTATCATACTGAAGAAACGCATTCCAGTCATACACTTTAATTGATTAGTATCCGGATCCGTGTGTACCATGGTGAGTCTATCCCAGTTCTTCGGTATTGAGAAACACTGTATTATCTTCCCATCTTCATTATGCAACCATTTGGGTGAAAAAGAAATAAATAGTTTTAATCAAAACTAAGTTTTGTGCACTTAAAGATTAGGAGATGAGTAAATAAGCAATTGACCTATACTTGCATTTAGTTGAAGTGATTCGATCGTAATCTTCTTTTGATTTATACCGTGCGAATCCCTCATACAATGATGAGTACATTACTACTACTAGCAGCGACAATAAAACTATTCTGAAAAAAAAGATTGTGAAAATAAGAGGACATAGGTGTTTTACTACCCCCCACCCCCACTCCCCGGCCCTCGCGCCGTTATGCTAAATGTGAACGGTTCATCTTCTTCATCTAATTATTTGAAGAATGATTCTTCCCTCTCTATGGAAACTGAATGAGGTATTTGTTCAACTAGCAATAACTACTAACAGTAGCTGTATTAGGACAGTTGCGACAACTCATCATAATAATAGCCATTTTGGGGCTAAAAAATTATTTGATTGTCATGTCAAATTGTGACCGTATAATAAATAATAAATGTCAGTTTCATTTAAAGATTCTCATTCAAAACTATGGCGCAGAAAATTTTAATGTTTAGTATCACTTTTTGTCCGGCGCCGCGTTCGGAAATAAATGAGGCACTTTAGTCCCTTAAATGGAAGACAAAACACATTGATTTTGTCCAGGGAGTGCAAAAAAGCAATATTCGTTGTGCTTGAGCAATAAATGTTAAAATTTAAACCAATTCATGCATATTTATTATCACAATGGAGCCTTTTCGGTAATTATTCCTATTGACATTAATCACACCAAAGTAACCGATCAAAAACGAGATACCCGGTTGTCGTCACTGTTCTAAATTGTAATAACTTACGCTACAATTATGTCAAGATAGTCGACACGATATAATGATTTTTCAGTTTCACAATGAATTTCCGTAACGTGCCCTTTCAGTCCATATCCTTTCAACTTTGTAGAATAACAGTCACTAATTTCATTTTGCCTAATTTTGTTCGTTGATCTATTTTGAACGACATTTGGACAGGTGAATGGTACACAAATTCCATGCCGTAACCAATCATGTCGAAAATTCTTTTCCGATGAATTCAGTTCCTATAACACTGATATGGTAATCACAGAAAAATTCAAATAATCACATTTTCCATCCAATAATCTGACAACCAAGTTCGTAAATAAAACCAAAAGTATTCACCTGCATCGTTTCCCAGACTTTTAAATCGGCTGCTTCATCAAGCGGCGCTAGTTGCATTTTAAATGTACAATACAATGCATTTTCGCCTAACATGAGACATCGATCAAAGTCATCCAAGTGAAACAACTCTGGCATTAATGCATAGTTCCCTTCTAAAAACAACAATAATAATGGAGGGTGCGGAACATATACATAAGTACACCGACCAGAAACTTCTGCAAATACCCCGATAATTAAAGTGCTTAGTAAAACTAATCCATCCATTAACATCATTTTCTTGTCCGGGTGTATACCGGTGACTGAGGTTTGTCAAGTCGATTAATGGAATAAACCACTTACTTTCAATTACAATTGATCGTAGTTGTAATGAAGTAATGTGTTTACTCATAAATCAGGGCATAAAGTCGCGATAACATTAGAGACCTATAGTTTATCTTTATCATGAAAACTAAAATAAATTTTAAACTTTAAAAGTTTATTTCACAATTAGTAATTTACGAATTTCTGCACCGAACTTTCAAAGTTTCAGTTAGAATTAAATACGTATTTATAAATAGTAAGACTGCATTGATTCCTAATCGGTTCCAAAGTTACTACAGGAAATCTTGATACAATTGTCATAAATAGATTTTATTTTTTATTTGCCTATTATATCTGACATATGAGATACATAAAGCATTCTATGACGTCCGAGGGCATAATGAGATGACAATCTATTATGCCGTCAGACGTTCTGTCAAATATATATAAAATATTTTAAATTGCGCATGGATAAAACAAATTGTTTGATTCGGCAAATGACTGAACAATACTACATATCACTTTAGAAACTGCCTGCGTCGTGGAGTGGTTCTGACGAAAGCCAAATTGAGAACAGTTCAATATCCAACTAGTTATAAAGCCGACGGTTTAGAATTATTTCAAAAGAATTCAATTCAATTCAATTATTTGAGAAGACAAGAACAATACTTGTTGGTCTGTTTTGTTCATATCCTGAGAATTTCCTTTCTTAAATAATGGCATGACGACACTGACTTTGAACATATCGGGAAAACTGCCTTCTGAAATACATGAGTTAAATATAAAGACAAATAACGTATAATTTTGACGATTTCAGTTTAAAGTTAATTTCTTCCTATCTATCTAATAGATTTCAGCACGTCTTCCACAATGGAGTAACTAGAAGAATTATATCACGTGACGTTGCATCCCAAACGGATTCCAAAGTAAAGAAACAAAATAAACATAAGGCGTCTCCAGCTGAAATAATAAACGTAAATGTCTTAAACCAGTAATGTCACTTGCTGATGAACTCCGCGACGCTGCAGAAAACTCCAAGGTAGCTATGGAACTTGTTGAAACTCCTCAAAGTTTGAAATATCGCCCTTCTGTGACTTCTTCAAAGCGTAAACGCCAAGTGTTAATTTTATCAGATAGCCAGGGCAGAAATACCGCGTTAAAATTTCGCGACTCATTGCCACCTAACAAGTTTTCAATTTTATGTGTTTTTAAACCGAATGCAAGATTTGAAGATGTAGTTTTTAACTCGCAGGGTCTATTTACCGATTACGATAAAAATGACTTCGTGATACTGTTTGCCGGTTCAAACAACGCTGCCAAGCATACTCTGATCAGTAAGTCTGTTATTGAGAACGCATTTACTTCCTTGTCAAACACAAACTGTATCTGTGTTAATGTCCCATACGATAAAGACAATTATTCTTTCAATTATTACGCACACCGGATTAATTACCAACTGCACTCATAGAGTAACAGTTTTGAACACGTTAGTTACATAGATGTGAATGCTATCCTAGGTTCGCGCAGGATTTTTCACAAAGGTATCTAAGCAGTAAATGTAAATCATTTATAATTCACTACATTACTAAATATTTTATATTTTATATTAATGACTCTACGCCTATAGGACATAATTCTAACTTAATTGTACTAACCTCTAATGACGAAAATGTTTCTTTTTTAGGAAAAAACATAAAGTCAACATTGATCAAATGAATATCGCTCATACAAGTTTCTCGCACTACGGTTTAATTCCTAACAGTCCAGTTGGTCATAATGTCCTTTTCCATATTAACATTCAATCTCTACGGAACAAAATTGATCAACTATCACTTTTTTTAATCGACTCTAATATTCAATTCCTATGCTTAACTGAACATTGGTTGAACGTTGATAATATAGGAACTGTTAATTTACCTGGTTTTTTATTAACAGCAAAATTTTGCAGATCTTCACGTTCGCATGGTGGAGTTTGTATTTACAGAAAAGACACAATTGAATGTGAATCAATTTGTTTAGATCAGTTCTGTTCTGAAATTAATGCAGAATTCTGTGGGGTATTGCTTCCTAGTAGTATGCTTGCTATTATTACTTTATACAGATCACCTAATGGTGTACCAAGTGTATTTTTAGAGCATTTAGAGGAAGTATTAGCTTTTTGTTACACTAAGGCAAAGTCGATTATTGTAACAGGCGATTTTAATATAAATTTTATGGTAAAGTCAGATTTTTTAGCGAATCTTAAGTCCGTGGCTTATTCTTTTGGCATGGAAATTTTAATTGACGATTATACTAGAGTTACCGCAAGTTCAGCTACATGTCTTGATAAATTTTTGTGAATTTACCGAAACACTCATATCGATCAGGTGTGATCGATCCATGTTTATCAGATCACAAAGGCCAGTACTTAATATTTAAAACGCAAAACTCAATTAATAAAATCCACCGCACAGTCAGATTATACTCATCTTACAGCATTGAAAATTTCAAACGCGATTTGTCAAAGGTGGATTGGCGCATTCGTGAGAATAGTCAAAAAGATTCTAATTTTTTAGCAAATCATTTAGTAACCACATTCCAGTCTTTAATTCATGTTCATTTTCCCTTTCGCTTGCTAAAATGTAGAGGAAAGAAAAATCCGGTTAACTGGTTTACTAAAAAATTAAAAGATATGCGTAACACTCTCCGATGCATCAAAACTATTTGTGATGTCAATAAAGACTACCATGCATACAATATCTATAAGAAGCGATATCGTAGTGCAATTTCTGTTCAAAAAAAGAAAGCATACGATGATTTCTTAAATAACTCAAATAATAAAATTAAGGATATGTGGAATTTAGTTAACTTTGAAAGAAACAAAGCCCATTCTAAAACAATACAGCCCCCATTCGCTGCTGAGAATTTTAATCATTACTTTGTGAATATTGCTAATGACATAATTCAAAACTTGTCTGGCAACATTAACAATTTAACTGTTACTGCTCAATTAAACTCTAAAAACGGCTCCTTTTTCTTGCATCCAATTTCTGAAATAGATGTTCTTCAAGCAGTTAGTAAGCTTAGAAATTCCCTCTGTGTCGATTATTACGGAATTAATGCGAGAATCATTAAAGCAACAGTTGACATATATCTAGTTTATTTGGTCAACCTGTTTAACTTTTGCATACGTGAAGGTAACTTCCCAGAGTCATTTAAGGTCAGCGTGGTACTGCCATTATTTAAAAAAGGAGATTGTGGAGATCTGGGAAATTACAGACCCATTACGATAATACCAATGTTTGCTAAGATCTTTGAAATCATTTTAAACAAGAGGCTATATAGTTATTTGCATAATTACAATACAGGGTGTTTTTTTGGGAGCTTTAGTTAAAAGTTTCTGGGAAAGTAAAATAGGTAGGTTTTTGAAAATTTGTACTTAGGAGTTACTCTGAAGGCCGAATCGATGTAAAATATTTTCAAAATGGCCGCACTTCCGGAAACACCGGAAGTAGATAGTAACTTCGTTATTTTAAATGGCAACCCCTATTTTTTATTGCTTTTTTGGATTCTACGTGAAATTTCACTTCTTTTGATACCCATATGTCGATATCTACCATTTATGGTTTTTAAGTTATTTTGACTTTAAGAAAAAAAATGGCGGATGCAGATGGTACCTTGATAATTGATTACTTGAAAACGGTTGTAGTCATGGCAACCTATTTTTATCAGTGCATAGAGAATGAATAGGGCTTTCTTTTAGTGCACTTAAAAAAAAGTTAAGTTGCGTACGACCGCCCCTATGGATATCCAAATTTATGAAACTTCAAAGACTAAAAACTCAGTTTTTTTAAATGGAATGACCATGTTCTTACTATTCCATGAGATAGAGAATCGAAATGGGCATATTTTGACAATACATGTTCCTATAGCTATCTTTAACAGTTTCTGACTTATTCCCATTTTATTGATTGACACTATTTTTTTAGGATTTTCTTTTTAGTAGTCGGCCATGATTCTATAACAATTGAATTTTAAACAAATCTAGTGACACTAATCCATCACCCACTGTTATAGGTTAACATAAGTTTTTCAAAAATCGAAAAATGACTCGCAGTGGTTTCACTCATTTTGGAATTTAATTGTTATTTATGGTGAAATGGGCAGAATCGCGGCGCGTGCTTTCCGTACATTCATTCGAAAACTAGAACGAAATTGTATGAATTTTTGGAATTTTGTACCCCTAATGCACTACAAACCGTTGAAGCACAAGTTATACAAAGCTCTACAAGAGAATATTTAAGAAAATGAATTGAATTGCAAATGCAAGATTAACAAAATAAATTCAATGCAAAATATAAAAAACTTTGTTGAAACATTTTTGGTATGGAATTGTTGCTAGAACAGATATCGCATTACCTCTCTTAATTTCCAGACTTATACGTTGTTTAAGAAATTCAGTTGAACGACTCTGTTTAGATTTTTCAAAAATTTTCTGTCCTATATCCTTATTAAATGAGTTATTTATTAATGAATTATTTAGACTAGAACTAGAATCAGTGGTATTAAAGAATCCATTCCTTGATTTGTTTAAAATTCGATTGTTATAAAATCATGGCCAACTACTAAAAAGAAAATGCGAAAAAAAATGGCATCAATTCCGAGATCAATTCAATGAAATGGGAATAAATCAGAAACTGTTAAAGATAGCTATAGGAACATGTAATATCAAAATATGCCAATTTCGAGTCTCTATCTCATGCAATATTAAGAACATGGTCATTCCATTAAAAAAAACTGAGTTTATAGACTTTGAAGTTTCTTAAATTTGGATCTCCATAGGTGCGGTTGTACGCAACTTAACTTTGTTTTAAGTACAGTAAAAGAAAGCCCTATTCATTCTCTATGCACTGATAAAAATGGGTTGCCATGACTATAACCTTTTTCAAGTATTCAATTATCAAGGTACCATCTGCATCCGCCATTTTTTTTTCTTAAAGTCAAAATAACTTAAAAACCATAAATGGCAGATATGACATATGGGTATCAAAAGAACTGAAATTTCACGTAGAATCC